ACCACAGTTGGCCATGTGGGATCCAGCTCCCTTTGCACAGTGCATAATTGCTGCCCTATGAGGCTGGCCCATGAGAAGGGCTTTGTTAATCTGCCTGGGTGGGGGGCAGCTTTGCTTTGTGTGAGGAGGGGCCATTTGCTATGGGTATCTTGTCCTCTGAGTTACAAATGTCTACTTGGAGATTGCCTCACTGCTTCTTCTTTGGCTTTTGGAAGTCTCTGGATGGTGAGAGAAGGGTGGGGATGACTCTCACCCTCTGTAAGAACACCTCTGTCTTGTGGTGTCCAATAAGGCTGCACTAGCTGCATGTGTCTCTCAAGCACCACCAATGACGCTGGACTGCATATGGAAGATAGACTCAGATGCTGAAGATTTTCCATGGAAGGGAAAAAAAGTAAAATATCTCATTGCTCATTAAAATATTGATTACATGTTGACTACATGTTTTATCTATTGGGTTAAATAAAATACACTGTTGAATTAAATTTCAAGGTTTCTTTTTCTATTTTATAGAAATGCATCCACTGGAAAAGTTGAAATGAACATGTACAGTACTTATCTGTGGCTTGCATTGTGTTTCTCTTACACAGTGCTGCCTCGGCCACCTAGATTCTGTTACCATAAGAGAGGAACTCCCGGGTCCCTTTTTGGCTCTGCCATCCCTATCTAACCTCTGGGAACTTTTCACTTCTCTCTAACTATTTGCTCCTTCTCAACCACTGCCCTGAAAAGAATTGCAATTAAGCCCCTTATGTGATAAAGGCCTAATGAATAACCCTCGTGGATTTCTCAGAAGACGCAGTCGTAGAAGAGATGAGGCTGAGATCCCCACCCCATGTTCTGCATAAGAAAGTAAAAGAGACTGCCAAAGTCAGTGTTCTTAGTCAAACTGATTCCTCCCTACAACCAGAGGACATTTGGCAAGTCTTCAGACTTTTTTGGTTGCCACATGGGGTGGAGGTTGCTCCTGGCATCTTGGATTGAGGCCAAGCATGGGTCAAACATCCTGTAATGTCTGGGCAACCCCTCATAGCAAAGAAGTAGCCAGTCCCAAATGCCAATAGTGTTGTTTGAAAGACTCTGGCCTTGACCTAGGAAGGGCTTGGGCCCAAAGCTGTCCTGGACAGGGGTCAGGAGGGAGGCTCTGGATGTCACACAATGGAGGAGACCTGCTCTATGTGCTCTCATTCTCTGGTTTCTTCCTGGCTCTCAGTGACTCATGACCCTTCCCCTGCACTCCTGAACCTGCCTGAACTCATCCTTGTTGAGAGAAGAAGACATATCCCTCCCAGGTGTGAGTCACATGCCCCACACCCCAGGTAGAGACCTCTCTTTGCCAGAGATTACTTCTCTGGGAGAGAGCATGTAAACGGGAATGGTCCATCCAGAGGGGCTGTGGTTATTTCCTGTCTTACCTTTCCTCTTTTTTTTTTTTCTTTTTCTTTCTTGTTTCTACCTCTCTCTGCTACTGACCTAGGGCTCACCAGAAACTCCTGGTCAGAACTCATTTGATGAAATTGTTGAGCATATGCTGAGTCCCTGAGGGAGGAAGTGAAGTTGATAGGGTTTCTCTGAGGGAATAGAAACTGTGAACTTGCCTCCAAATTTCTTGTTGAAGCCTGGGGTTCTGGGAGCTGAGCTAGTGCTCAGTCTATAATTTTCCAGCCAGACTTTAAAGAGCCTTAATTCTAAATCCCAGTCACACTCTTGGCCTTCAGGGAGTTTATCATCTAGCTGAGGACACAAAACCTACACACTTAAAATGACTATAAATGGGCTTTAAAGAGGACTCAATGGTAGCAGAGACTTTAAGGAAGCAGATAGCTAGGATTCTGAGTGATGACCGGGGTTGCCCACAGCTGTGGAAGGAGACTATGCTCCAGGTCTGCAGGTTTTGGCTGCATCCTGACTCTACAATCTCCCAACTATGCAATCTCCTCCCTGAAGTGAAAGTCACAATAAAACCTATGGTTAAATGAGACTCCGAGCCGTGCCCACTCCCACTGCCCATACACAGTTGAGTAGGACACAGTTGCATTTTAAGGAGGGGTACTGGATGTTCCCTCATGGGTGAGTATTTCCAGATTGCTGTCTGTATGGGGAAATGTCTCATAAATGCAGCTTGCTGATTAGGAGAGAAGAGAATCAGTTATTTACTGGAAAGATACAGCCTGTAACTTTGTGCAGTTGTACTGGGCTTTATCTAGCGGTATCCCTCCATGTTCTTGAGAGAAAGATCCTGACTGCTATTATGTGTCCCTATGGCAAGAGCTAAAATTTGCTGAGCATCTATTATAAGCTGGGCTTTATGCTAGGTACTTTGCTGCATTATCTCATGTAAGTCAAGCAACATGCAATAGCTGAACATTCTCTCAGTTTCCAATACTGGGCCTGGGTGACTGAGAAATGACTGAAAAACAGACTGCTTGCTTTCTCACTTTCTCTCTCTCTCGTGAGCACACGTACCCTATAGCAAAGTTTAAAAATAATAATAAATAAAATGAAATGAATAATTATTAAAAAAAAAACAAGTAAAGAGACATTCTAGGCATTCACTTCTGGTGGGGGTATAAACAAAGCTGATGTTTACGGTGCAGCTGGTGAGTGCTAGTGGGGAGGTAAATAAACTTACTTTGTAGTCCACACACAACCTGTTGGCAGGATGCATCAGGGTGGTGGGTAAGCCGTCAAATTTTCTGCCACCTTCTGCTCTAGGCAGGAGGTAGAAAAAGAGGTATAGCCAAGACTGCTAGATGCCCATCCACTATTCATTCTCCCCTTATTCCTTTAAAATAGAATCCCAAGATTGTCAAGGTGGTCATGTGCCCAGCTAATAACTATTTTCCAGCCTCCCTTGCAAACATATGACATCCTTATGACTCCAATGGCTAATGAGAGGAAATAGCTATTATTGGCTGTTTTGGGGAAGGCTACTGAAAGGGAATAGACAGCTAGCAATGCTTTCCCATTCCTTCAGTTTTCTTCTTTACACATTGATGGCTACAGTTTCAGCTCCCATATTGGACCAGGAGGCTTCCTTGAATTTGAAAGCTGCATTAGTTTGCTAGGGCTGCCATGACATGATACCATAGATTCGATGTCTTTTAGTTTTGTTTTTGAGGGAGATTTTTGATATAGGGTGTGTGTGCTTGCTGGAGAGACAGAGAGAAAGCAAGAAATAATCCCCCAGAGGGATAGCCGTGCTGCAATCCCTTCTCTTTCATTTTCCTCTCAGGATTTTGGGCAGGCATGCACATGCACCCAGCATGAGTTTAAGGACTCGAACCACCATCGACTACGTGGGAATCCTATGATATAACCATTACACCATCTGCTGGTCCCAATAGATTGGATGTCTTAAACCACAGAAATTAATTTTCTCACAGTTCTAGAGGCTGGAAGTCCAAAATTGAAATGGTGGCAAGCTTGGTTTCTGCGGCAGGCTCTCTGCTTGACTTGCAGATGGCTGTCTTTTTGTTGTGTCCTCACAGGGGACTTTCCTCTATGGGCACATTCCTGGTGTCTCTTCCAAATTTTCCTCTTCTTGTAAGGACACCAATTAGTTGGATTCGTGTTTTCTCTCTTCATCTCCTTCTTTCTCTGTCCCTTTTTTGGTGAGTGCATGTGTCCTCTGGCAAATTGAAGAGAAAAAAAAGAACTTTCGTGCTCTCTGAAATGAAGTTGAGAAGTGTGTTCAGGGGATTCTATCATAATTCAGGACAGCTGGGTTCTCCATCTAAACTATTTTATGGCCTTTCAGTGAGACTTACAGTAGCCAGTTAAACCCCTCAGATCCTCTTTTTTTAAGAGTAATATCTGTCTTATTTATCTTACAGAGTTTGGGAAGATGAAATGAAAGAATCAATGTGATACTGTTTTGAAAAATATAAATGATCTGTACCAGAGTTTCTAAAACCATCTGGGTACCTCCTTTGTGACATTTTTTGTCCTGTGTTCACTTGTATTATGATTTTCCAAAGAACTGAGTTGTTCTTTTTTACTCCTCCATTCTTCTCTTAGGATTTTTGGCACGCATGCCAGGCATGAATTTTAAGCCGTGGGGTTCAGGACTCTAACTGGAGTTGACTACCTGAGGTCCAGTGATGTAACCATTATGCCATTTGCTGATCCCTAAACTGGGTTGTTCTAAATAATTATTTAATTAAAAATTTTAAATCAGAATCATAAATATAACAAAACATAAAAATCAATAAAAATGAAAATAACACTATTAAGTGCTGGTAGTTAATGTTTAGTGCTAAGACTTTCTCCATTAAAAAGAGACCAGGGACCGGCAGTTGGCATAATGGCTATGTGGCTGGACTTCCACGTAGTCGACCTCTGTACGAGTCCCAGACCCAGTGGCTTAAACTCACGCCGGGAGTGGGTACATGCGTGCCCAAGATCCTGAGAGGAGAATCGAGGAGAAGGGATTGCAGTGTGGCCATCCCCCCTGAGGGGTGATTTCTCACTTTCTATCTCTCTGTTCTTTGTCTTTCTGGCAAGTATACGTGCCCTATAGCAAAAATCTCTAAAAAAAAATAGTAAAAAAAAAAAAAAAAAAAAAAAAAAAAGAGAGCCCAAATGTTAAAAAGGGAGACCAATAGGGAATATTTAAACAAATCATAATTAAAGTATAGCAAGTAAACTTGATATACTCAGAGTTAAGAAAAAAATTAGAAAAGGAAGAAATTTCTCATAATTTCTGACATTCTAGTCCTCTCAGGGTATAGGGACATGCACATGAGCCCAGTCCAGTACTTGAACTACACAGTGAGTCATGCAGGATCCAGTTGCCTTAATCTCTACATCACCTGCTGGCCCCAAGGATTATAATAGTACCCATTTCATACTGCTTTCATAAAGGTTAAGTAAGTTGATATGTGAATAGCATTTGAAATAGTTCTAGCACATATTTCACTCTATCTAAGTGTTAATATCATTTATGCTTTATATTGTGGCTGCCACTTATGGCTTGGGATAGAATGTTCCCCATTTGGTTAGGAAGGCAGCTTCCTAAGACATCTTCTCTTTAAAGCAGCTTTCACATCTTTATTCCTTAGGCTGTAGATGAGAGGGTTCAGCATGGGGATGACAACAGTGTAGAAGACAGACACAACCTTGTTTTGTCCCATGGGATTGTGAGAGCTTGGCTGAGCATACATGAAGGTGATGGTGCCATAGAAGAGGCAGATGGTGGTGAGGTGAGAGGCACAGGTGGACAGCGCTTTGTTCTGGGCCTCCAGGGAATGCATCCGGCAGACAGTCACTAGTATGTAGGCATAGGAGACCAGAATGATGGTGATGGTAAAGAGGATAAGCAAGGCAGAAGATGAGAAGACAATGACTTCCACTTCAGTAGTGTCTGCACAGGCAAGAAGGAGTACAGGGGGGATATCACAGAAATAGTGATTAATGACATTAGGGCCACAATAAGGCAGCTTGAAGACGTACCCTGTTAACAAAGCTGAGTTGGCAACAGAAGAAGCATAGGTGGCTACCACCAGCAGGACACACAGATGTTGGGACATGACGGTGTGGTAGAGGAGAGGGTGGCAGATGGCAGCAAATCGGTCATAGGCCATGATGGCCAAGAGCAGACACTCAGCAGTGCCATGGAGAGTCATGAGGGCCATCTGGATTGCACAGCCTGTGAAGGAGATGGACTGGCCTGCAGTCAGGAAGCTCTCCAGCAGCCTGGGTGTGTCCACTGTGGAAAAGGAGGAGTCTATGAAGGAGAGGACACTCAGGAAGAAGTACATGGGTGTGTGGAGCTGCGGGTCTGTGTGGATCAGGATGATTACACCCAGGTTGCCCATGAGGGTGATTGAGTAGATGAGCAGGAAGAGCACAAAGAGGATGCCCTTGAGCTCTTCTTGTTCCGTGAGCCCCAGCAGGAGGAACCAGGTGACTTGAGTGTGGTTCTTCACCATGGTGTGAGTGTCACTGCAGAGAGACCAGAAAAGATGTACTTGGACCCCAGAGGCAGACCCAGGAACTGTGTTCAGAGTCCCATCAATGCCCCTAGAATGGATGGTGCCAGGGGAAATAGGGAGTAGAAACTAACATGAATTGAATGTCTACTATGAGCCAGATGTTAACTCATTTTCTAAATAGCTATTTAAACTTCATATACTCCTGCTGATTTAACTATTATGCTCATTTATATTTAGTGAGCTTCTCAAGTTGCTCAAGGTAAGAGAGCAACTACGTAGGAAAAGTGGGATTAGAACTCAGTTTCTTTTAGGGCCAGTGGCGGCGCAGCAGTAATGACGCTTGGTGATGATGGACACATGTGGCAAGGTCCTGGGCCCATATCCCGAACTCTGTCTTTACACACCAGGTGCCCATGTGCCTGTGAGTTGGGCTGCCAGTGACTACGGGTGGTTCATGGTGAGAAGACCCTATTGATGGTACCTCTCTCTCGCCTTCTTTCTCATGAAGGAAATAAATTAACTTAAAAAAGAACTTAGGGGGCCAGTAGGTGGTATGGTGATTGATCCGCATGGCTGACTGAAACCACATGGCTGACTGCGTAGTTTGAGTCCTGGATCCAGCACCTTAAAAAACATGCCAAGTGCACATGTATGTGCCCAAAATTCTGAGGAGAATGGAGGGGAAGGGACTGCTATGTGGCCTTCCTCTCTGAGGGGGGAGGGTAATTTCTTACTTTTCCTTTTCTATATCTCTCCAGGAAACCCATGCACCTGTGGCAAAAAATCTAAAAACAAAAACAAGAAAAATAACCTGTTCTAATAATTGTATGCTTATTGTATAGTTAAAATAATATTCTGTCCCCAAATTTCCCACTCTGTGGGAAGCCAGCATGAGTAGTGGGTGTTAGAGAGGGCTGGTGTGTTGGCCTATGGTGGGAATAAATAATTTAATCAATTTGGGCCATATTTAGGTGCAAAGACTCTGACAACCAGCCTGTCCCAGCCCAGGGACACAGGTAATCAGCTGCTTCATGTCAACAGAATGCAAGGTGACTCAGCTGAGCAGTCATTGCTCCCCATGCTGTGGGCTGAATTGTATTTCCCAAAAAGATATGCTGGACTCCCAACCCTTGGCACCTGTGAATGTGACCTTATTTGGAAATAAGGCCTTTGCAGATGTGATCAAGGTGAGATGAGATCATACTGGATTAGGGCAAGCCCCACTCCACATAGTTACTGTTTTTATAAGAAAAGAAAACAGAAACAGGGAGAAGAATGCCATGTGCAAACATAGAGCTGGAAGGAAGAGAGCTACATGAATATGAAGGCAGCAACTAGAGTTAGGCTGCCACGAGCCCCAGAATGTCTGAGACTTCTAGAAACTGGAGAGGCAAGGAAGGATCCTTTCCTGGGAGCTACGGAGGGGGTATGGCCTTGCCAATACTTTGATTTCAGACTTGCAGTCCCCGGAAGTGTGAGAGGATATGTTTCTCTTATTTTAAGCCACTCAGTATGTAGCACTTTGTTACAACAGCCCTAGGAAATAAATACACAAAGTAGGGATGCTTCCGCCTGTTGGGATCATGATGCTTTGAGGGAGGCCTCTGGAGCTATTGTCAGAAAGAGCTTTTCTGAGCACTTTCTCTCCAAACCATGGAGAGAAACAAAATAAAATAAAACAAAGTTTGTGCTATTGTTCACTACTAAGAAAAATATTTGCGAGAACAGGTAGTTACAGCAAATACGGAAACTCCTGCCTGACAAAATGGCGAAGAACCAAGGTTGTGCTTTAGCCAGAAATAACTGAAGGCGGTTGTATATGCCAGACTTGTGGTTTGGAGTCCAGTTCAGGGCACAGTTCTTAGGGTAGAATTAGAGGTGAGATCTCTAACCAAGAGACCATTAGTTGAAGCGTTCACCTTCAGTTCCTCAGCAGAACTTTCATGCTCATGGCACTTCTCTCAGGTGTCCTTATGCTCCCAAGAATTTGCCTTTCAGGGTCCACATCATCTAGGTTTCACATAAATGAGGTTGCTCTTCAGAGCAAGCTCCTCTATATATAGTTTATCACCCAGAGTCCTCTCTGATTAATTGGACATCTGTTCTGATTGGTTGAACATCTGTTCTGGTCGTTTGAGGGTTTGTTCTAGATTGGTTAGTACCCGTGACATACTGGTTGTTAAATAGAATTCTGTAGGGTCCAAGTGAGTCTGGGAATGAAGGAAGAATTAGGCAGAGCCTCTTTTAGAGCATTCCAGCTAGTCGCTAGAAATAGAGGACCTCTAATCAAAGCTGATGACTTGGCTTAGTACCATCTGCATCTTAGCCTGGCCTCTTGAAACAAAACAAAACAAAACAAAACAAAAAAAACAAAAAAACACTGCAGTTTTTAGTGTGGAGTGTATTAGTAGAGATGCTGCATCTCCATTCATGATGTTCCCCTCCCTAAGGAGGGATATCTATTGTGTAACGTTCCTGTTCCTCCTCTGTTGGAGGAAGAGTGCCTGATGTAACCAGTGAGTTAGGGAGATCAGGTGGGTATAATTCTGCTCTGCTTTCTTTGCTTGACGGAAACACTGGTCTTGCCCATTAATTGAACATGTGAGATGAAGGAGGGTCAGGAATAAATTTTCTGGTTTGGATAACAGGGCGACTACTGGTGTCATTCATCCAAACAGATTTGAGGAAAGATCTGACAAATTCCATTTACAATAGCGTGAGTTTGGGAGGGTCAAGCACAAAAGTCCAGGACACAGGTGGGTATACTGTTTTGAAGCACAGGAGAGAGTTTCCTGTAGATCATGGAGGTTTGCGGTCATTGGCATGTAGTTAGTCACTCAAAATATGTTCATTGGGCATTTACTGTGTGCCAGGCTTTGTGTAGGAGGTGAAGATACAAGAAAAGGAAAAAAAAAAAAAAAAAAGACATGGTGCCCACTTTTGTGGACTTCGAATTTTAGAGGGAGAGACAAATATTAATGTGATAATCATACAAATTATCAAAAAATGTAACTGGAACAATAGTTATACCTAAAGCTATGGTCTAGAACCATAGGATTTGATTCAGGGAGGTCAAGAATACTTCTATAGGAGGGAAGAGTCGAAATAGCCTATACAAAGTCATTAGGTCTGAGGGGTGTTGGTGAGGAAGAGGAGCTGAACAAAGTTCAATGTAGTCAGAGGGAAAAGATAGAGGGGCGTCTAGTGTAAGCTGAGCCTAGCAGGCAGGAGGTGTTTTGTAACACATGTAGCTTTTTGCTGTATGTCAGGTACTGTTCCAAATAACTTTACTTTCATTTAATCTTCTCAACAGCCTCCGAGATATACTATTTTAAAAAAGAATTATTTAATTTTATTTATTCATTTATTTATTTGGGAGAGAGAGAGAGAGAGAGAGAGAGAGAGAAAGAGAAAGAGAGATGTAGAAAGCAAGCCATCAGCCACCAGGTCCAGGACTGAAACCATGGTTGGTCATGTGGGAGTGTCCAGTGCCTTAACTGCTACACTACCTGCTGGCCCCTGAGATATACTAATAATACCTTCATTTTGCATATGAGGAAACTGAGGCACTAATAAATAACTTACCTGAAGATAAGTGAATAAACAACAGATATGGCATTAGAATTCAGATGATCAGATTCTAGAGCCCAAGTGATTATACAGTATCCTAGCTCACAGTAAGAATTAAAAAAATGATTTAATTTTATTTATTATTATTAAATTTGCTATAGAGCACATACACTTGCAAGAGAGAGAGAGAGAGAGAGAGAGAGAGAGAGAGAGCAGGCCTCCAGGTCTGGGACTTGAATCAGAGTTGGCCATGTGGGAGTCCAGCACCCTAACCACCACATCACTTGTCTGGCCCCAAGAATTTTTTTTTTTGAATGGAATACCAGTAAAGAGTTTTCACCAAGGGGAAGACATGATCATATTTGCTTTAGACAAGAACACTCAGCAGTTGTAGAATAATTGGAAGGTCAATAGATAGGAAAAATTGATTGGAAGGATATAGAAGTCATCCCAGAAGAAATTAATAGTTTAAACTACAGTTAAGTGTAGTGGAGACAGATAGAGGTACATGGATTTGAGATATGTTTGGCTGGAAATATGTCAGGATTTAATGATGGAAAGAAGATGCCAGTTTAAGAAAGAAAGCAGTGCCAGGGTGGACTTCAAAGTCTCTAGTGTACAAAATAGAGATGGTAGTTGAAACTAAGAGAGATTAGGTTGTGCAAGGGAGCTATTAAACAGAAGAGGTCCTCAGAGCAGGTCCTAGGAAATTCATTTCAAATGTACCATGCACTGCTCTGAGCTCTGATTTTTTTCCTCATTTACCTGAGTAGTAGGATGATGACTAGTTTTGAAGAGCTTTGAACATGCCTTATAAGGAAGAGAGAATAAAGGAATCTAAGCCCTCCTGGTAATGATACTCCACCCCTCAGCTCACTTACCTGTGGTTGAGCAGATGCCATCCATCCATGATGGTCTCCAACATCTGCAACACTTTGTTGCTGGAGATCTCTCGGGGAATGTTCCCTTTCCTTTTGCATTGATTACCTCCGGCCAGCTCTCTCAAAAGAACTTCTCAGACAGTTGTAATAAACTTTGTGGTTCCTTATTGCCAGGAAAACTCTGGTGCTAAAATTTATCTCCTGACCCCTAGAGTTTAGAAGTAAGTGGGAATTTGCAACTAGTTCTCCCAGGAGCAAACCTGTAGCTATATCTTGTCCCTAAGGGATGACCAAGAGATCTTGGTGAAGGTTGTCTGGAAATCCCTGAGGAGCAAGGTTTCTCTATCAAATGCCAGGTTAGACCCTCTTTGTTTATTGTGTCCATCCCCTGTGTGTCTCTGTTTTCAGGTTAATGGGACTCAAAAGACTCTCCAGGCAAAGAAGTACACATAACATTTCCCCAGGTCTCATAAGAAGTGAAGAGGAATGTTAGTGATAGCAATATGTGTTCTTTGATGGTGTCAGTGTGGCTCCCCTAAGAGTTAT